AACAGACTTACCAGCTGGAGGCAGCTGTGTCAGCTGCCTCTTTAGTCTATGACCAAATTTCTGAAGTGGCGCCAAATCTTTCATATCTGATTCGGCCGAATCGAATTGGGACAGTGATCTGAATCTCCAAATCTAAACTGCTGTCCTCCAAATCGGCCAGATCCGAAGCGAATACTTGCTGCTTTGCACAGGATGCACTGGTGCATCCTGGCATAGTTTCATAGTTGGTAGGGTCAGAAGGGACCTGAACAGATCATCAAGTCGGACCCCCTGCCATGGCAGGAAAGAGTACTGGGGTCAAACAACCCCAGGAAGGTGACGGTCTCGCCTTGTCTTAAAGACCCCCAGGGTAGGAGCCAGCACCACTTTGCTTGGAAGTTGGTTCCAGTTCCTAGCCGCCCTGACAGAGAAGTAGCGCCTCCTGATGTCTAGTCTGAATCTACCCTCTGCCAGCTTGTGACCATTATTTCTCATCACTCCTGGTAGCCTACTAGGAGTGGCCTACTAACAATACTATTATTGTGTAGCACTTATGAGATCCTTTCACAGGTGCCATGGCACCCTGGTTGAGAAATGCTGCCATTAAGCAAACAAACCCACTCTTGCAAATGGCAGTAATTACATTTTGATTCCAGTGGCAAGGACTGAGTGGTCCTATATGCTGACATCCTTCCAGGGTGGAAGAGCAGTGGCAAAAGAGGGAAGAAACTTGCTGCTTTGCTTTTTTTTGCACGGTAGCTTGCGTGACTCCCAACTCTGTGAATAGGTTGTAGCAAATTGTCCTGACCATCGTTAGGAAGGGTACACTTACCATAGAATGCCCCAGAATGAAAATGGGCAGGCCAGGGTGTTCCTTCTTCATGAGTTCAATGTGCTGCAAGCTGTCTCTGATGAAAATGTGGAAATCGGACACAACCATACGCTCCCCTTCACTCTGCCCATGGCCAACTGCACAGGAAAAAGAAGACAGCATGGTTGCATCGCAGTGAAGTAATGGAAACTTATCTGGGTGTCGGGTCGACTATGGGTGCCTCAGCAAGCTGCAGGGACAGAATCATTGACCAAGTGCTCTTGTGCTGATGCATACATGCATTATAAGTGTGCTTTACATTGCATAATCTTGGGCGCTCAAAATTTCCCTTCCCAATATCTGGTAATGGGGGGAGGGAATAACTAGGAGTGTGCTATAGAAATAATAAGCACAACATACTGGACAAGAAAAGAAGCTCATAAGTGACTCAGTCCTTGCCTAAGAAGCCTTTGTTTCCCATCCCCCCCACCCCCTCCTGCACATGCTTCCCAAAATATGAGCCCCAAGCAAAGTTCAGATCTAGTTTCTTGCTCTTCCAAAGTTCAGTGAGTGAAAGGATCTGGTGGGTGTTTAGCTTCAGTAGCTGGAGTGTAAGGCCTTGGATTGCCACAGTGAGGGGTGTAGCATAAAAACTTAGAGAAATAGAGGGTTCTGGATACTGAATGAGATGGCTACAATAGCCATAAACAGATGTTCTGTAAAACTTAGACCCAGGGTGCTATGACTCTGCTCTTCCTTCTTGCTCACATCCCTGTCATACAGTGTATGTTATCGAGGGATTTTTGATTTGCTGCTGCTGAGGGGAGATGGGCCAGGGCAGTTGCCTTCAGTAACGGACAGAGCTCAAATCTGTGACTATAGGGTCACAAGTGAAACTAGCAGTCACAATGTTCACAAGTACGGGAGTTCCACCTAAAACAAGTGGTAACTCGCAGTATACAGCATCCTATCTTAACACTATTTAGCCACGTACTACTAGATTTGCCTTGATTTGGATCAGTTTTTAGTTTCCTCCAGCTTTTTTCCTGCCCCCCACCCCCAAGAAGTAAACAAGTTACTATGGGAACAATGGCATCATTGGTAAGGGTGGAGTTGGTGACATCCACCAGCATAGCACAAAGTCAATTTATAGCATGTAAAGTCTTGAAATGATTTATATGATTAACATGACGACATACGTGGGGGGCACTATATAAATAGCATATCTTTCTTTCAAAAAAGAGCCACGCTGTTCTTGTTCAGTGCGGTTTGTCATTAAAGGAGACTTGGAAGGAGTGTGGGGGAAAATAGCTCCATGTAACAGGCTGGTCATGTTCACCTGAACCTCCTCCAGCTCCGTGAATGGGTGATCCTGCTGGGAAATGCTAAGTGGAGCCTGCTGATGGAGAGGTGGAGGAGACAGAGAGAAACCCTGAGACATGCCAAGCTTGGAAAGAAGGTGTGATCAGAACTTACTTAATGTCTGTGCTTAAAATGAAAAGCCAGGCAGAGGGTGAGTTGATTTTGCAGAGCTGTTGGAATGTGTGCATAGGGCAGATTGTTCCATGTTCTTTCTCCAGACAAATGCATCTATAGCTCTACATATGGCTTCACTTCCACAAATGACTGATGATGGCTGTTGCTTCTTGTCACTGACACATGGAAGATCCTTTCTAGCTTTGGGCTGGAAATAAGCTAAAAGCTCTGTCATCTACAAATGGGTCGATTAGCACTGCATTCGAATCCAGCATTCTCTGCCCTGTGCCCTGATTTGGAAAAGCGTGCGTGTGTATTTAAATCCCATAGACAAAGCTGAAGGGTAAGCACTCGACTGGGTCAGGTCCTGGCCCCTTGGTGTTAGCCTCAAAAGCAAAAATGGTCCATCTTCTTTGTGTGAGTAATACCAAAAAAAAGTGCCCTCTAATGGTATGTACATCATATAAAATAGGAATGTAATTTAAATGGTACTTATAATCCAAACAAGCCAAAGTAGCTCACAATCACTAATGAATTCTGTCTCCTAACGCCAGGGTGGGGTAAAGCAAGATTACTGTGCCCATGCTATGGATCGGGTGAAAATCTGTGCATCTCCCCATGTTGTGTGGTACAGTGATTTCATGGAGAGCCACTGACACCTTGTACCTTTATGCCCATGGGGCTAGTATCCCCCTCTTACACTGCCTAAAATGACCTCTTGGGGGATTTTCCATTGTCATTCCACCTTACAAAGTTCTTGGTCTTTTAATTTGATTTTACATGAGCAGTCAGATTGCTCTTATCTCTTATCTTTTCTTCTCCACAAAATCAGACCTTGTTCCATATGTAATGAGTCCACTAGAAGTAGATTCACCCAACTGAAACCTGCCTGGAGCAAGGAGCCCTTTGTGGTGCGTGAAAGGAACTGCACAATCAAACATCATGATGTACAGGGAAGATCATTGAACTTTTTTCTTCAAACTTTAGTCCTTAAAAGAGTTTGTAAGAGTGAAAAGGCCAAATCCAGCCTTGCATACCACAACAGGGATAGATCTGCGTTTGTGGTTGAGTGAAAGTTGGTGCAGAAATCAAGGTAAAGGTGCAAGTGATGGAACCAAACAAGTAATAACAGAGCAAAATAACTTGCTGTATCTCCTTGCATACCATCCCTCCCACACCCCAAGAAATGTTCCTTCTTTTTTGGAAGGCAAACTATAGGAAAAATCTTGTCCCAGAGTTGCAGCTGAGAGCTGGCTGACTGCAGCAGCCTGCTCTCCCTCACTCAGCTCACTGGCTGCTATATGCAAAAGCTAGTGTTAACCGCTCTGCCAAAAGCAACTGCCAATTTGGCAGTGGCTGTGAAAGGGTTAAAAATGGCCTCTACCCCTGCTGCTCGCTGGCCTGGAGAGAAGCAGCAGCCACTACAGCACAGCATCTCTGCTTCTGTTCCAGTGAAGAAAACAGACCTCCTGCTTAAGACATGCAGGTTTTGGAAGACTGATTTTTTTGTTTTTGTTGTTGTTTCTTTTGGCGGGGGGGAGAAAGAGGTGTATGATATGCGAGTATATATGATAAAAGCTAGACAGGGAAATGCTTCTCTGAAATGCCAATTTAGGCTTAAAGTAAGCTGAGAGATGGTCAGCTAGATAGGACTTTCAAGATGTTCAGTGGAAGGTGCCTGCAAAGGGCCAGCAGTAATGCTTGTACACCCTCTCTTTCATGTTTTATCTGTTCACTACTGCTATTGCACATATAACTAATTTGTTCATATCAACAAATGGGCAGCTAGATGCATATGCAGTGGAGTATACAGCTGGAATATACACCCGCATATGCATTTTTATGCATGTATACTTTTTTTTTTAAACAGGACAAACACTGAAAATAAAGAATAGGTGCTGGAGAACTACAGGGTCTAATCTTTCCTTCCTTAGCCCAGCCAAAGCATTGTTGCAAAATACCGTGCGTTTTACCTTAGAAGGGACTAACTAAGGATTGCAGGGTTTAAGCCTGTGAAATTAGTCATTGTTTGCCACTTTTAATCTTAGTGTGTATAAGTTCATTCCCACTGTCAGCACAGGAGTGTTCCTTACTCAGCCCAAACCATAATTATCTTTTTAGCAATCAGTACAGTAATAGCAACTGATCACAAACTCAACCAAGTGTGAAGGAATGGCTCAGGTACATGACTCTTGGCCAAGTGGATGGCCCCTACATACTCACGCAAACATCCGGAGAGGGGAAGCGCTGTCTGCCCATACTGGAAGACAGGCTGGGCAGAGGAGAAGGATAAGGAGAGTGTGCTACCCCATTGGAGCAAGCATTTAAAAGCTCACCTGCCTCATGACAGATACTGGAACAGCTCTACATGCTCAAAGTACCTTTCCCCAGCTTCAACACCTTTCAGCATCATGGGACCTTGTCCTCAAACCAGGTTTCAAAGCCAACCCGGCCAAGTCCCTTCCCGTTGTCTTCACACTCATTAGAGGATTTTACACATCAGCAGGATTGCAGATGTGCCTGGCAAAAAGAGAGAGATGAAATTCCACACCTTTAATAAAGGTGGCCTGGGTTGTGCAGCCGTATGCGGAGGCGAGAGCCCAGGAAACCCCCCAGCCCTGTGCTGCAACCGCTGAGCAGACTCGCTGCCTGCAATGACAGCCGTGCTATGCGGGTCACCTGCTGCGGCCAGCCAAGTGCTGATTATTAACATACAGTACAGTGTGGTGCCTTTTCGCTGCAGCCGTGGGCACTCAGCACAGCTGAACACCAGCCCTTAAATACAGTAAACTAGATCAGCAGAGTACTGGCAGCTGAGGGGATCTTGGCACCCATGTCTGCTCTCCACTAGTCTGGGGCCTTCACTGCACACAGCTGGGAGAGACTGAAGGGTTGGATGAGCACTTCTGCAGTGTTTGTCTGAGAGACTATTCTGTCGCTCTCCAGGGTAAAGAAGGGGAAAAGGCTGCCAGAGAGAGACGCCCTGTCGAGGGGCCTTCTGAAAGTGGGACAGGCAAACAGTTGGGACTGTTTATAGCTTGCGCTGTGGCTACAACTTCTGGTGGCAAAGAAAACAGCCTGCCATCGGAGGTCGTTCAAGCACCTACACTGAACACCTTCAAGAGCAAATTGGATGCTTATCTTGCTGGGATCCTATAACTCCAGCTGACTTCCTGTCCTTTGGGCAGGGGGCTGGACTCGATGATCTTCTGAGGTCCCTTCCAGCCCTAATGTCTATGAAATCTATGAAAAGCCACCACTGCCTTGCTTCTGCCAGCTCCACAGGGCTCCCCTCCACAGCCGTGTCACCAGAGTGTGAAGCACATCTGGGAAGGCAGCAGCAGCCACAAGATGAAAGCACAGAAGCATCTAATATATGTCTCCTGCTGGGTGGCTGCAAAGGTCTTTCTTCCCCTGACAGGTGTGATGTGATGTAGCTCTGCTGGCAGACTAAGGGGTTCTGCTGACACAGGCTTTGAGTGAGGCATAGCTACATAATGATCTCAATTGTGCTAGTGTCAATCCACTGACTTCAGTGGAGCCGCTCCAGACCTCACAACACTGGCCATCTGAAGTTCTGGCCTATACTGTGCTCTTTATGCCTCTGCCACCAACTTTACCACTAAAAACCCATGAAAGGGAGAAGCAGGATGTGAAAAATCATCTAGAGAGCATCTGAGAT